TGCAACACGCCTCGGTGGTTAATGATTGAGAACCAAAAGGCGTGACTTGCTTTCTAACTGGTCGTCAGTCCAGCTGCTTTGGTCAGTAAGAAAATCAGGAAGTTTTAAGTGACAGAGAAATTGTATTTCACTCATTAATTAGAGAGAATGAAAAGGCGAGGGAAGCTAAATGGGAATTATTAAACCTACAGAACGCACCTCGTATATTGATGGGAAACCAAAAGCAAATTGTTGTCACCTAATGTAAAGCAGATTGCGAGTGCGGAAAATGGGGGGGGGGNTGACATCTGAGTAGGAGGGCTTCGAATTTTATAGCACACAGTGCAGGCGAATGTTCATAGTTATGATTTTGGGACAAAATATGGAACTGTGATTGGAGGAGTGGTGTATAAAAAGAAGGTAGGGTTGAAAGAAAATTACAACAAACGCAACAAACTTTTTGAGAGGGATCAATGACCACGGCTCCGGAGGCGTTCTTAATTGGGAGATAAGGTGAAGTGGGGATTACGGAAAACTGTTTGGGTGAAAGATCGGAACGGACAATAAGCGGAAGGATGATTAGCGATTTTATTAGTCATAAAGCCAAAACGTTCGTCTTTAATTTTTTGAAAGATTGTAAGGCAGTTTTTCTAGGATTACACATTGAAGTGATGTGAAGAAAGATTTGGATAAAACGCCAACAGTAGAAAGCTTTCTTTTTCTCATTAACTGCCAGGAATGAAGCCTAAGTAATTTAACGAGCAGAGCACTTTCAGATGAACTTAGAGAAGAGGGAAACAAACATTTGGATTCATTTGACACCAGCCTGCATAAAATTTATAACCGAAATTAGGGGCTAGGGGAAGAAGTATCACTACACAAGGATTACGATGCTAGGATGCAAACAAACTTGTAAGATCAGAACAGCGGATTGGGTCACATAATTCCTGTTAGGCTCCCTGGCTGGGGACCTCGGGATGATCGGAACCGATGGTTAGAGACACTGAGTGATATGGCTGGGTGTCGCAACCAGTGGCGTTCGTGCTCGATGGTTAGAGACACTGAGCGATATGGCTGGGTGTCGTAAACAGTGGCGTTCGTGCATCGTAACCGCTGGTTAGAGACACTGAGCGATATGGCTGGGTGTCGTAAACAGTGGCGTTCGTGCATCTCCGATTTCTTTGCAACCTTAGACCACTGAACTTCCCCATTTTCTTTTCGACTCTACTTTCAACTTTCCTTTCTTCTCCTATTCTTCATCCGAATGGGCAGCCAAAAGACAGCAACTCCACTTTCAACTTTCCTCTCTTCTCCTATTCTTCATCTCAATGGGCAGCCAAAAGACAGCAACCAAAACCGGCGCACGAATATGTGTGGTTGATGGTTGTACAAACTGAAAACTGAAACTGAAACTGAGTGGGGTGGGAAAATTAAAGGTGATAAGACAGTGATATGATGTATCAACGGAACAAGAGGAAGGTAACTCGAAGAAAAAGAGGGTCTGAAAGTTACTATGAAGTCTGCAACAACGTGAGTGCACGTTTTTGAAGGTTTAGTAACACAGGTTTGGAGTTGACCAGTTGTGATATACTGTTTACAGTGACCAACGTATACAATTCGTGGCTTGTGCTTGTGGTTTTCACGGAGTGTTTTGACAAGTAACTCTTATGGCCATCAAAATTTGAAACTTTTGCGTTGAAATTGGATTGGAAAATGCTTTCAGCGAAAGGAGAACAGAAAGAGGAATATTCGGAACTGTTATTAGAACCATGAAGATTGGCAAAAGTAGTATTTTGAAAATGATACGTACAGCTTCACTATCAACAACTAAAATTCACGATTGAAAACATCAACACGGTTGGAGGGATTACTGGTGTTAAATATGGAAGACAAGCAAACACACCACCTTTAAACAGAAAATATGAATAAGGTGGATACTTGGGTACAGAACATTTGTAAGTTCTCTTAGAGATAATTATTAGATAAAGCCAAGAAAAGCATGATTGGAAAATAGATTCACGGTGATGATTCATTAAGACTGATAAAGACAGAAAATATTAATGAAACGATTTTCAGGAATATGTAAATACAAGTGTGAGAAACACTACTGAGTGGTTTTTCTATGAAAGCAATGCAGTACTATTTTTTGGCACACCATAGGATGCCTCAGACTCATTGCTATATCTTTTGTTTGTGTCAGTGATCGGCGAAACAGACTAAGTTCTCTTGGTGAACCAGATAATGCATTTAGATAGGAGGCCTGACAAAAATGACAGCGATATCTTGCGCGTTCGGTCCTTTTCTTAGTGCTTCATTTATGAAAGACGCGAGATCACGAATAAACAGTGATATAATCACTTTACAACTAAGATAAATCAAATTTATCCTAACACGAATAGCTATCATTGGAGCGTTTTCATCTGATGTAATCAATTCCATGTAAGGTGTTGATAAATTTCCGGAGAATCAAAAAGTTAGTTAGAAGAAATCTGGTGAATTGGAAGAGCAATTTATGGTTTAATTTTAGCTTTAAATAAAGGTTTGTACAAACAGCGGAGTCTAAAAATAGATCCTGATAATATATACCTTTTTCAGTTTAAGATGTCCGAATATCAATTTTAAATGTCACAATATGAATTCAAGATGTCCGAGTATAAAGTTAAGATGTCATTTTGCTATGTGGATAGCACATTGAACAGTACAGAGTGAAAACGTTCGATGGGATCCTGTTTGCCCAGATCTATGGCCCCCGAAAATATCGTCCTACGCTCAACAAAAAATGCACCGACGACGATCTTGTCTGCTTGTTTGCACACACACGGATTGGACAATGCAACCCACATTCATTCAGAGCTATGGCACCATGTGCAAACCGACGAAGGTTTGATTGAATACGAAACAAAATGGAGCGCTTTAGGGTTTGATGGGGTCTCTCACACGATGACCACATTTCTCACTTGACCCAGCAAACGAGCAATTGATTGAACAGTGCTCACCACGAACGTTCATAAAGTGTTCTTGGTACAAAAAGGGTGGTGGCGGAGACGTAAAATGGGGGTTGAACGTTTGCAATCGTCAATGCACATTTTGTTGAGCGTGGGACGATATTTTCGAGGGCCATAGATCAGTATGCAGGTAGGACGCACATGGATCTGGGTAAACAGGGGTCCCATCGAACGTTTTCACTCTGTACTGTACTATCCACATAGCAAAATGGCATCTTTAATTTATACTCGGATATCTTAAATTTATATTGTGACATTAAAAATTGATATTCGGACATATTAAACTGAAAAAGATATAGAGCAACAAAAGGCTCAATGTGAAACTCATATACAAGGGTAGTGAATGAGTGTCTGTTCAACCATTGTCTGTTGCTGCTGCTGTTCAACACTTTTTGCATATTTTTGATTTTTCACACAAAAATTGTTTTTCAAATTTCAACCGGTAACGTGGATAACATTACTTATTTTTGAAACAGTCCCCAGCGCTCCCCTTCTGTTAAGACCTTCATCGAAATATGCTCATCCGTGGATCAGAAAAGACAATACGCAATCATTAGGTTGTCCCAAAATATTTGAAGTGCATCCGAAATTGAAGGCTGTGAAACGAAATAGAGAGCAATTACACTAAGGAATCACTTGGTCTTTATAGCGAATAATATGCCGGTTGAAGCCGATCACTTTTTTAATCTTCAGCTTTTAGTTAACTAAATACACTTTGGGAATTCATATGGTTCCTTCTATTGAATTCAGTTCCTGGTGAGCCCGCAAACATGAGGCTGAATGAAGGCTCCTTATTAGTGACCAAAGTATTCTGGTGTATCGTTCATTTTATTGCAACTGCTTATATGGAGACCACTGCTACGAATTAGGTGAAACTAAATGTGCTGNCAACCCAGAAGCGTAAACCATCTCTGAAGGATGTCAGTTTTGAATGACTGACTGACGACAGAACTGATAGAAACTCATATGTCTTCACAAACATACTCCTTCTATGCTTCAGACTAAACTCTGACTTGCTGAAGCTTCAGTTAGGAATTCACCTTCTTTAGTTTGAGGAACTGAGCAGTATTGGGACCCACTTCTAATAACAAGCCAGGATTTTTGTGATACAAATGTTCGTATGACGGTTCATTCTATCTATAGCTTAGTCCTCCCAAAAGTNCCAAAAGTGTAAAATATATCACCTTTCGAGGGTAAATGCACGATGGATTTGAGTAAAATGAATGCGACACTGACTGTTACAAACTACAGAGACGAATTGAAGTTATTTTTCTCCTAAATGTCTTTTGATTCAGATACGCAAGTATTTGTGTGTTTCCTTTCTACAGATGTCCAGCCTCTTGACCTCAGTAAGCTACACGATGATCAACCAGATAAGGAGTTGGAAACCACAGAGAGCTCAACATGGCGTCATCATATTACCATACCGCAGCCCTTCAAGATGTGTGAACGAGAGCAGCAACGAAAACAGACCGGTACGCAGCCACGTTCTAGGCAGAATTTGCGGGCAGAGGATGCAAACAAGGAAAAAGAGTTGACCGAAATTCAGCAACGAGCAAATCAATTTAGGGCCAAACCAATACCTGCACATGTATATCTTCCGTTGTTTGAGGAACTAATGGAACGTCAGGCTGAGAGAAGAGAGGCTGTTCGGGCTCATAGCAAGGAAGTGCTCAAAGCGACGGAAAAACCCTTTCGATTCACTATTCGGGAAAGAAGGAAAAAGGAACGGGGAGAGTGAGTTCTCGGTTCTTACATAGATGTATAAAAGCAAACAGAAGCTTTTGGAACCGATTAAAAATGATCAGTTAGATAGAAAAAGAATAAATTCATTGTTCTTCTGCAGTTGTCAACCGAGGTTAGACAGCGATCTCGGTAAACTGTAAACCTGTCCAAATTTATTATATCATCGGACTGCAAGTATTTATTTGAGATAAAGGGGATTGAATACGGTAGAGCTTTAGACGTACTTTTGAGAAATATACTTAAGAACTGAGTCAAAGAAAACCATAAGAGTAGGAACAGCAATGGTGTATGCAAATCCCCGGTGCAAAAGCATACATTTAGAATGACACCTTCGTGCTTTCCAACTATTCCTATTTTTCTTTTGCTTTATTCAGTGAAGGATTTTGTTACGTGTTTAGTCCAGGTCTACAAAACACACACATTTGGTACTTACGCACAGGTCAAAACATTGATCAATTACCTGTGTCATAATACATAGCCAATCAGAATACCTTGGTACACCTAAGCAAAATGCACAATAATGATTGCGAATGTTTTGATATTAAACGCTGCGTATGTTCTTTGTGGGAATAACTATTAACCCGTTACTCACGTGGAATTTTAATACCATTTCACACATCAAAGATACGAGAAATNAGAAATATCTTACTGATGATGACACAGATTTTGTCAGTTTTTCAAAAGCTATTTCTTCAGAACTGTTCAACTCTTTGCTTGTCGGAACCTCCGATTGAAACAACACTACCATATCACTTTCGGTCTTATTCACTTATTCCCTCACTTCTGTTAGGGCTTGAAGGGGTCGAATGTGAGCAGGTAACTAAAAAAATTTTAGCACAACACTTGTGATGACGTTTGGTGGTCGCTGGCAAATAGTGCATGCTATCAGTTCCATTTCGCCAAATAATCAGAAACAAATATATTTTCTCTGGTAAGCAAGACGTCTGTTATCTTAGCAAGTTGTTAACGTTATTGTGAGCCTCATGAAAGTTGGGTAACTATAGTAACCGGTTACTATGGGTTGATAACGTTTTTGGAGCACTTGAACATTGATTTGGTTTTGTCATTGAATCAACAAGAGCTATTTTTATCTCGTGTTTAAACAAAATGATAGACAAGTTGCTGTTTTCTCGTGGAAAATCTGTAAAATATTTCTTATTGCAATTAATTTGGAAGGGAAATAAAATTTTAATTTTGCTGTGGACCGATTTTGACTAAAAGGTATGCTGAGAAGAAGATAAAACCCTCGAGTGCAAAGGTTATTTGTATAGTCTTTATTTGAAGGGGTGACGTAGCGATCTTTACCAGGTTTTAAGAAGACAGGTAGATATTAAATCCTCTGACGTCAAGTATGCCATGAAATGAGAAGCGACGCATAGCTAATTATGAATTATGATTTATACATACAGGAATACATTTATTAATGGGTAGAGAGAATGCTGCGGATCCGAATAATACACCTCAAAAAGTTTTGGTTCTACACAATCCAATTGATGGTACATACAAACATGGAATATCATTTTCCAATCGTACACTGATAATTCAGTTTCAAACGAAGTAAAACGCTACATGAATTTTTTAAAGTGCTTTTATGTGACGTGTATTTAACCAGAAACTAGTGAGAACATTCATTGCACCGTTTTAGTAGATCTCTTTAACTGATCATTCATCAAATCCCTGCAATGAACTGTACATCAATTAGTTCGGTATCATCAAAGGAATGCTCTGAGTAACCCCACTGTGAGTTGAACCCTGACCTCCAAAGAAACCCTTTAGACCCGTAACAAGAATGGATTTTCTATTCCTCGTTTTTCTTTTAATCTAATGTATCATGATGCGAAAATACCTAGGAGGGGGAGAGTGCGGCAAATCACGGTGACGCAGTGAAAGTGGTGTACCTCGACTGCTCCAAAGCATTCGACCGAGTGAACCACAAAATATCGCCGAGGAAACTACACAGTTATGGAATTCGTGGATTTGTAATGGGTTGGATAGCAGAATTTCTTCTACAATGTACCACGACAGTTGGGGTCTCCGAATAACTTTCTGATCCGATCCACGTAGCCCGAGGTGACCCACAGGGATCCGTGCATGGTCCTCAACTTTTTCTATTTTTCATAAATGACCTAACGGACGCTCTGGGGCCAAAAGCGGTAATGTTTGCAGACGATGTAATAAAAGCAAAACATTGACAAAATCGGAGGATTCGCTGGCAATTCAGAGAACATTTAATGCTGTTTTTCAATGATCGATTGAAAACGACATCGAATTCAATGCATCAAATTTACGGTCGTATCCCTTTGCCATAAAAATCGGTTCCCGTACTTCCTCGGATATCATTAAATTCCGTGTCTTGAATGAGAAGAATCTCAGGGTCATTTTTCAAGACGACCTAAGTTGTTCTTTAAACTGCTCGAGGGCGTCGTCCACCACTACAAGACATGTTGGTTTGCTAAAGCGAGTATTGGCAAATTTGAACCTACACTGTTTCCACGGTTGCTATCAGCCAAAATTCGATCCCACATAGAGTATGCCATTCAAATGTGGAATCCATGACTGCAACGCTATCGTAAGATTCTGGAACGCCCACAAAGACTGGCCACCAAGACAGTTAAGGGACTGCATTCCAAGACTTATATGGAAAGACTGGAACCATTGGGGCTGTAATTCACACAGTACAGTCGAATTCGAGGAGACTTGATTTCGCTGTATCAAATAATGCAGATCTCTAATCACCCGTGTCTTTCAATGTTCACCTTATCACCTAATATTCAACTCAGAGCGCACTCATTCAAATTAATTCTCCAAAAATGTCGATTAGAATGCCGGTGTCATTGATTTGCCGTCACAGTGTGCATTATTTGGAATTCTATACCACTCCACGTTGTTTCTGAGCCCACAGCTGATTCTTTCAAGCACAAACTGGTTGATAGTTTGACAAGTCTTAAATTCCAACATCCGTAGCAGAATTAATGGTGGCGTTCCTCCTATTTCTATGAAAAGTAAATCGATCCATTTGTGCTAAACCCTATGGGACAGGAAAAGCAGCTGCTTGTAAGTATTTACTACAATAAAACTTTAACTTTGACTGGCCAGACGAATGCCCTACGAAAATGGGCAAGTTATATGGCAGCAGAGTACTGAAACACCCGTCTTCCGGGGCAATTATTTGGTGACCTTGACCGTTTGATCACACTGCTCAACTGTACCTATGCGCAATATAAGTCATACTCACTCATCTCAGCTTCTTTATTCTAATGTCCTCATGTAGTTGAGTACTCACCGGGATACATCCGATTAATTCCCACCACAAACTACTTCCCGATATTATCCTCATATTAGGTCAGATTCAGTGGCGTTAGGTTTCAACAGACAAGATTTGCATTTGTTCTGCTTAATTGGTAGACCGTCATGCACAGAGCAAATTAATTGTGAACTGATAAGCTAGAAAGCACTATAGAGCGGTTTTGACGAGCGAAAAAATGAAAAGACTGTCTGATCAGCCGATCGGTGTTCTAGTGGGTAGTATGCTAGTGTTCTACGTGCGAGGTCCCACTAGGGATTCTCAGTTGGGTCCATGGATTTGTTGACGAGGCTCATCAGCGTCTTAACAGCTGTGCACGGACTCCCAACTTTTGAGTTTACTCCTCGTTTGTTCGGTATACGACGAAATTCATCATCAAATCAAATCCTCCGTTACTCTCATATTCTGTTTAATCATGTTGGTACAATAACCGGTGACTGTAAAATGATTAGGTTTTATAAATTTGTAACCGTTCGAGCAAAAGTAACTCCACCTGAATGAACAGTTAATCAGAATGGTTAATAATTAGGCGGTTCATTTCGTTATTGAATTCGTTTTTGACCAGATAAACTATGGTCATTTCATATTTGCGGTGATAACTTATTAATTTATCAAGTCATCATCGAAAGAATATACTAAAATAATGATCTCACTCGTTTTAGGCATATCTAACACATAAGCTAAGGAACATTTTCCCAAACTCTCTATGCGGAATAGTTCTGGGGGCTGTGCCATTTGAATTCTATTGAATTTCGAATTCTGACTTGGGAGTAGTGGTGTGGGAGAAGCTTTCACCATTTGGACTGATCGTCTCTCAGACTTCATCTTCACCCACAAAATTCAGTCTATTTCACCATCCGCACAATTACAAAACACTATGGACCCGAGTTGCATTCTCGTCCGTGCTCATTTGTAGTGCACATCCACAGGGGTTTGGACACCAAATGCCTCCCATGGCAGACGTGTGTGTATTATCATGTTAGCAACCAGCTCACATCAAGAGTGACCGGAATGGTAGAGTTAATTTTATTTAAATATCAGCTTTATAGATAGCCAGTTGCTTGTTCGACACATATTACTTATGCGCATTCTGGAGAAAAGATAAGTGAACACTTTGTCCCGGTCCCGACAAATTTTGCCTATGGAACTCCACAAGGGTACTTCGTTCAAACGAACACGCCCTTCCGGTCACTTAATACTGCCGTAAGTTTAAAATGCATTATTGTAAGCAGGTTCAAATGTTGCAAGACATTCCGGTGTTTCACGTGAGATCATCGGAATCCTTGGACAAAGAGTGTAGTGTTGGTAATGTGAATTCTGTGTGCAATACTTTGTGCTCTTGGTTGTTTGTATCTGCCGGTGACAGCTGCTGATTTGTCTATTGCAAATGCTCACTCAGGACTTAGTCTTACACGTGATACGGCTGCTAGGTCCCGTAGTATAATTAGTGTCACTTTCAAACCATAGAGATGGAAGTTGAAGGCGCCCATCGACAGTGATGGGACGGCTGATAAAAAGATATTTATCTGTTGGCAGTAAATTATAGGTTATTTATTTGCACAATAATAGCATTTCTATGGGTAAATTTGCATCCGGATTCGATGTTGAGAGAACGCCAGTTCACAAAAGTGAACAAAAGGTATAGCTTCGAAAGACGCTGGTACCAAGAACAGAAAATTAGCGATTAATATACTGGTATTAGAATCGAACTCAGCCATGGATGTGTCACGCTCATTGCCATTTATCTTATCTCTGTCTGATGGAAACATTGCTAACATCCCTTAGGTCACAACAATACGGACAGTGTGATATGGGAAATTCGAACCCCACAACTATTGGTAAAATTGACCCTAAAATCGTGCTTATAAATCATGCCAAAAACAGAGAACATAGAAAAAAAGCTAGATGTGTGCCATACATCACTTCACTGGAAACAATTAACAATAGATTAAATACTTTTAATAAAATAAACTCTCAGTGTCATAGACATCAATAATCATTTGGAAGGTAGGTGTGTGCCTACGAATCGGGTTCTACCTTTTAAGGCATTTTCTGTGGGTGCCNGAGTGATTATTTTTCTGTGGGTGCCTCTGTGACGAGAAAAATAATCACTCGTACCAGGCATTGTTCACCACTGCGGAAGGAGGAATGGGCAAATAAACAGAGGAGATAAGATGAAAAAGCTAACGATTCAAGGGCCGGGAGATTTCACTTTAATTACGAAGAGAAAATTCGTCAAACACGGACGGAATTTAACTGAAACTGTAAATTATAGAGGGGCCAATGAGCACTTTCAACCCAATTGAATTGATCCGGGTGTTTTTGATTGGAGTCATAACTGCCGAAGGTCGGAGCTGAGAAAAGCTAGGATAGTGACTCACAGTATGTTTGCACAGAGTGCCATGTGTGGACAAACAATATGGTCGATTGCCAGAAGATCAGGTGATTTATTGGATTATGGTTTCCCTGGTCTGTACTGGGTTCGAATTTCCGTTACATTGATGGATTTGCACTGCTGCTACTCGTCAAGTTTGAAACGGTGTGGCAGCTAGGCGAGAATTATACTGCTCTGGTTGTCATTTCTTTTAGGGTTGGAGTAATTGAAACAGTATGTATGCATTACTGGAACAAATATTGTGACTTTATTTCCTTCCCTTCCATTTCCGATCTCTTAATCAGATCAAACTATTTTCCACTTCACAGTTTATGATAACCTTTTGCACATTATAATTTGGCCCGTAGTCGGCGAGGTCGATTCAATGTAATTCGAAGTGTTCACTCATGTTACTGAACACATCTGATCAGCGTATAACAACTGAATATCTGTGTTGTAGCCCCTCATCCCGTAATTGATCTTTGCACTATTTTATGTCAGGTCACTTTAATGTATGCGCCTGCGGTATGTAGTTAAACCATGGATTCCTTATTTGAATACATTGGAAATATTTTGGAAAACCTGTTTTTAGAAATGTTGACCGTTGCAATTTTCTTATGATAATTCGGGATCGTATCTCCCATTCAGTGAATGCACCGAAAAGTATGAATTTATGAAGAACCGCTGTTTCTTTCCGTATTGCTTGCAGAATGGTGGACGAAGCTGAGGTTCGGCGGCGCTCCATCAGTTTGATGCGCCAAAGCGTATCTGCTGGTCGGCGGAAATCTTCCAAAGATATGTTCCGTGACACGTTCGGTTTGCCTGATCACCTGTATGAAAACCGAATGGAACGTTTGCACGAAGATCAGCTGTTACGTGAGGTCAAACGCCAACTACGAGCCCAACGTCTACTTCAGTCGGCTTCTTTACCAGCTGGGATGGAGGAAAGAGAGCGTCGGGCCGCCAAACGGCGTGCGGATAGAGAAGCAAGGAAGAAACAACTCGGTTTGGATCGTGAGTGGACAGTTTGATGCCTTTGAGAATGTTTGCTTTTAGTAAACTCCATAAATATATAGAAAATGTCACATTTTTCTGCATTAAAAATAATTTTGGGCGTAAACATGATCTTATTGATATTGTACACATTAAATAAACTTGTGCACCAGACAAGCGGTTAGTACAATTTTTCTATTTTTTTCGCAACTCTCACTGCGAGCAAACCTTGTTCCTGATTCACACGACTAACGAAGGACTCCTTGATCATAGGGCAACATCAATTAATTTGCCATGTTCTTGGTTTGTTCAAAGTAAAGCCTGAGATACCATGATATTAACCAGTCTAAGAAATAAAAATGATTGCAAGCTATTACACTTTAATCATCTTTCCTTGTTTCAACAAAAGGCGTATATTCTTCAGTACTTATTGTGATTGTAATCCTAACTGTGCTTCCTAGGAAAACCTAGGTTGCCCAGCCCACAAACTCCATGACTTGTACCCATGTTTCGCAATTTTCTGCTCTATAAGGTTCTCTTATTACCCATTGTTTAGCGGAATCCGATTTGCAACAGCGAACTGCAAGACAGTTTCGAGCACGGCCAGCTCCAGATTTCAAGCAGTTACACTGGCAGGCGGATAAGTCACTTCGTCGTTTATGGCGTCCGCCGCCAGAACCGACCCGTCCAAAGCCATTCAATCTACACACAAGTAAAAGAAGCAAAAGTGCAAGTGCCCCTTCGACCAGAAGTCGTTCCGCAGCTTCAGCAACAGATGATCTTTCGCTTGACGGAAATAAGTCTATGAGTCCAAAGAATATCAGTGAGTTATCGTATTTATTCACCATTTCTATGGGATGTCCAGACTGTTTAAATTATGGACTAAATATTTCATTGTATCATCGTATGAAATAAAACATTAAACTGTTCCGTCTTTCTGGTTTTGAATTTCAGCACCAGGACCACATAATTACCGGCGCTTCCTGGCAGAAATGCCCTCTCCGGCCAAGGCTAATGCATCAATGCTCCGCGAAAATTACGTCCGGTTAGTGCCTCGTTTTCCTTGTTTGCGCAGCACCTGAGTGGATATGTCCATCGAGGATTGAATCAACCAGTATCGATTTTTTTATGCCCAATGAATGCAATAATTATGGAAACTATCCTCACAAATAGTAGAAGAATTCGCTCTGAAAGCTTGATCTTTTTAGTGTAATTATTTAAGACGGACAATTCAATTCATACGAAATTGCCGAAAGCAGAACAGTCAGAGCAGATTCACCTCGAAAAGTATGCAAAGAATTCAAGGAGCCTGAACAGAAATATGGGAATAATTTGTATTCAGTTACAAAGCCTATGAAACCAGACGCTAATAAATGTTGTTTTTGGTTGGTTACTGGGCATATGTTGATTGAGCAAAACTATAGTTTGCGAAATTGCTTGTTGAATCTAGTCTGTCAGTCGATCTAATTTGAAAAGCTGGGGCTGTCAGTACTGCCTCTCGTAGCTTATAAATATCAGTATGATGTATGTGTGATAAAACATTACAAGCAAAAGCTTTTTACAACTGGGTATGTCCGAAGACGGAGAGAGTTTAGCACTAAATTTGGTTGGATCCTTGTTCAATAGACAAGTTTGACGTTGGTAATGTTTATTCATTATTATCGATGTTAATGCTGTTGTTAGGATTCTTCTCAATGCAGTAAGTTTTAGGTTTGGAAAGATCAATGATTGTCTGGTGGTTAGGTACAACCACATCATTTAAGGATCACTGTTAGAAAAAGAGGTCTAAGATGAGAACGTTTCAACTGTAATAGATCACTTAAGGGACTGTAATATTCTGGGGAAAGGAATTGATTTGCCTTTTCTCTGGTTTGTGTTTCTTTTGAATAGTATACTACAAACGTAACCACATATTTGAATTGCATACTTTCAAACGGACAGTATATTTGTAGTTTACTGGTTTGGTTATTTTTTTCTCGTCGAAGAACTTACAATGCTGAGAGGAACAACACAGCTTAAGTATTGACTACCAAAAATTCATTAAAATGGTGATTCAATCAGGCCAATAACAGACGTGTACAACTCACCTGACCACAATATAGTTTAATGGTTATTCAGTAAACTAGAACCAATAAAGACTGAATTAGCAAGCTATACGCTACGGGACTCGTTTGGTCTGGTCTATAACGCCAATGCAACAAATGTAACCGAACTAGGAATGCTGTGCGTGGATGTAACATTGCTATTCATCAATGTTCCCATCAAAAAATGCTCGATTTCTTAGCGCATTGTATCCGAAGTAGCCAGATTTGTATCGGTATACAGATTGAGGACTTAAAACAGCGAAATCATTTGTGCACTTAATACGGGCAACGAGAACTCACTGATGCTGTTTATCATCAGAAGGATGGTATGGCAATGGGCTCCTTGACATGGCCTGTTTCTTGAGGACGTCTTCATGGAAGTGTTAGAAAACAACGCCTCAACGCTTCTAATGAAAACTTTAAGCTAGTAAGAATGTGCGAATGAAATAATGCGTTTCGTAGACGAGAATAGTAATCCCAATGAGCTACTGGTAACATTCAACATCCAAATACTAAATTTACTCTAGAACAGGGAACTTAGAAGCAAATCGCGCGTCTTGATGTTTGCCTGAAGCAACGTGAAGAGAGGTTTGTCCAACGTTCGGTGTATAGAAAAACCACCTGGTCCAGAAAATATGTTCATTTAAGTGTTTTAAGTTTTGTGCTACTCAGGCGAAGGCGCAACTTGATTTATTTTCTCGCCAACAGGTGAAGAAAATGTGCTGGTCTAAAACAGTTCAAAACCAAAGTTCCTATGCCAGGTCTTCCAACAAAGTAGGTACCCCGATCTATCTGTGTGCAGCATATTGAAGCACCAATAAGACCAGGGAAAAACTGTTTGAATAGAAAAGAAACCAGCTTACATAAACCTGTTATTCACAGGTGACACTATGACAGATACTTTGAAGTTGAAAAAATAAAATCAGTCAAACGTTCCAGGCAGCGAAACTCCGTATCACATTCACGACCAGACCAGCCCCCAGGCTGTAACTCACGCGCTTGTTTNCGCACTCTTGTTCTGCATTTACTGTTTCACTTGTTGCTGTGGAACGATGTACATCGGTTGCATGAGCAGACGCTTAACTCGGATAAATCGTGAACATCATCCAAATTGGTTGCACACTGAGGTGATAAAATCAGTTATAAGCGCAATCGGTTTACAACTTGTCGAGCTAGGTCGCTTGTTTGATTTTATTAGGGCGTCTCGACCCCCCTCTACCAGGGTTGTGAACAATAATCTAAGCCTAGCAAAAGTCGCATCCTGATCACAGCGGTAGCAGTGTGAACTCGTACTTACACTCCACCTTTGTGTACACAAAAATAATTTGTAAAGTCGTTTCCTATGACCCTCCACCCAACCCATTTTCATTTAATCCCATCCCAATCTGTGTCCTGGATTAGATATCATAACGAAAACAGAACGTTATCTATATTTTTTCAAGTCTCTTATCCACATATAGATATATATAGTTAGACCCAACGATATAACGTAGAAGTTGATATGCGACAGTGCCAGTGAAACCTTTCCCGTCGAACGATCGGTTTCCATCATGGAGAGGAATGAGAGTTTCCGGAGGAAACTGCTGTGTGACAAACGATAACGAATAGCTGTTTCGTCCTTGTTGGGACTCGTCAGTTGTGCGTGTGCAAACATGTTTTTTTGGTGGCATTAACTGATGCCACTATTACGTTCCGTTTCCAATGCTGGGTTCTTAAATGGTGTGGGTATTTTCGTTTTATCAACAAAAACATCGATTTTATCATGAAACTACTTCCTAAATGGCAGTAGTAATAAAGAAAATACGAAAATCTCTTGGAGATGAGCACTTGGAAAACGTCTCCTCACCCCAATGTTAATCACCAAAACACTGAATTAAATATTTTAAGATATATGTACATGAATCAAAAGACAATGAAATTTAAGTTAGGTATAAACTTGAGCAATTCATGTGGTCCTATCTGGATAACTGAACCGCTGGATGGTCTTCGTTTCTTGTGTTTGCCAATGAAAATAGACAGGCATTATTACCTGGGGATGTTTCACAGTAAGTCCATAGACCAATGTGAATGCCATAAGGCCGTCACTTTTCTGGTGGATTTACCACTGGTCACACTATGGGACATGTATTGATCTTCAGCGTACTAATGGTCCATGTCCCGTCTTAAATGGGCTGATAAATGCTCTACTTTTCCATTCCGCTCATGTCAAATGGTGAAACATGCCTGAGAACGATTAGTTTGAAGTGTTTCGTAGCAAAGAGAGACTTGTAACACAGAGAACAGATTATATTTTCTCAACTGGCAAGCGTAGCAGAGACAAACAAGACTCTAAACGAGTAAGTTTTTAAAAACGGTTTTACACGTAGTTCGTGGTTAATGTACACAATGTTCGCTTAACATTAATAAGTTCTAAGACTTTTTTGAACGAGCTCTTATAAACCGTTCTCTTTTAACTTGTGATGCCAGCCAAGATTTATGGTACCATTGATCGCTGACTGGCTATCTGAAAACAAAAGATTCGTCCATAGGAAGATATTTTCTCATGAGTAATATGGGGTGGCTGTACCCAAATGTATAGTCAAGGCTGAAATTTATCGTCGATTGATCCGTGTGGTACCTGTGATGTATTTGATTTCTGATCGTGATTCCGGAGAAAAATGACTGATTATAAGAAATATTTAAAACCTCAAAATTATGATGATTAAACCATACATAAAATACAGTAGAGCACTAATTAAACACATTGCAAATTTTCCTTGCCCTTCTACGTGTCACAGGCATATCAACCCGTGATTGGTTCATTTGAATTCCATCAGTTCTTATAACAGTTTCGGAATTAGCAACTCTCTCCTCCGTGGAGTTCGGTTGTAGAGTTATGCATTGAACAGTAGAAAAACAGCACCGTATTACCACTCATATTTTATATTTGTCAAACAACATTTTGAAAGCTCTGTGAAATGACAATGCACCTTGGAAGATAGAGCGAGCAGTTGAAAGGAGACCGGGAAAATCACTTCCTTTTCGGAGAACATCTAATACAAATTGTACAGTACACCCACGGAGTGTAATCGCATAACACTATTTAAGTTGAAAGATAACTGAAGTACAAAGATAGAGTTCTGCTCTGCATGACAACTCCATTTTAAATTTTCGTGTTTTTTCTATGTCTCAAGGCTGCACCCGAACGGATACAGCTCACCCCCTTCCCGAAAGTTGTGTGTACAGTTCCATGTTCAATGAAAGTGGTAAAAGGTTATTAGTATTACTACTAATAGTATTAACATTAGTTCAATATGAATATGTATGAAAGCAGGTTTTCACAGTTTTGTTTGGATCGGAGTTAGCATCATCGGGAGCTTAAGTTGAAGGTTTGCGTGTCTAAATAAGGGGATCGACAATGGACGGGAAATAGAGCGTGCTTGTTAGAAACAAAACATTCTGACTTGATAAAATGTTTGCTGACATAAGTATTGTTGATTCAGCTGTATCTTGTAGGAAGATCTCAAATGATCCACATTTTGCTGTCTTCACTTAGTCGGTAAACAAAATTTATAGTTTTGATTATTTGGGTCACCTCACTTTTCAATGAAACATGAAGCAGACGATTTCCCATTGAAATTGAAAATACATGCAGAAGACTATTGTGTCTGTTGCAGAGTTAATTATTATGAGTTTTAAATTAATATTACAGTAAACAATGTTTACCTACGTGCGATGTAAGTTCCCTCAGAACATCACTCTTGTGATTTTGATATTGCAGACAGTCCATGGAACGAGCGCGTTTGGAAGCTAAAAAAGCGGAAGAGATGGAACTGGCAAAACGTTTAAAACAATCGGAGCTGTCACGTTTGATGCGTGGCTCCGCTTGCTACTTTGGTGATCAGGCTGTGTCGCCTAAACAATTGATTACAGCGGTCACGGAAAACCGCAAGAAAGAACTCGTGTGAGAATTCTTGATACAATTCTGTCCGTCAATGTTTGTATGCTTGCGTTGAACGCCGCGTATGAATCTCTCTAATAGTAACTTACCCGCCCTATCCAAATGTTGCTAACAGTCCTCGTGTACAACTGTCACGACCACTCTGAGGAAAATGTTTAGATCATGTCGGTATACCAAATGAATTGTAGACATGAATGTTTTGTTTCGTGTCAAATACTCTAATACATAGAAATGTCATATTTTGTGCAAGGGAACGTTCTTGACAAGGCAACAAGATTATGAAGTGATGTGGCACAGTCGGCTTTTAGTATGTTAGTCCGTGTTTGTAACTGGTGTATGGCAAACTGATCAGGCAATAGTGGTGGCTGGCAGCCAGGTTACAAAGATCGGTCCTGTTACATCACATATGAAAAAGAAGAAAGTCATTCTGATCGGAATTCTGGGGGCTATGTTTGTTCGGGTTGGAATTATTCTCTCAGAGCGGACGAAGAATGCCCAATAATGGAAAAATACCGAACAGAACTGGAAAACGGTGCATTGATGTCAGATTCCGCATTCTCATTTCCCCCGTTCTGTGCACAAAATTCGTTTGAATTTGTCATATTAGATTTAGTACTATGCAATCGCAATCAGACTCAGTTCAGTTCAGTTTGTACAACCATCAACCATACACTGTCGTGCACCTTGTATTGGTTGTTGTCTTTTAGCTTCTCATTACGATGAAGAATAGGAGAAGACAGGAAAGTCGATGGTGGATTTGAACAGAAAATGGGGAAGTTCAGTGGTCTAAGTTTGCAAGGAAATTGAGAAGATGCAAGAATGGCACTGTTTACGACACTCAGCTATAACATTCAGTGTCTCTAACCATCGGGTACGGTCATCCTGAGGTCCCCAGCTAGGGAGCCTAACGGGACCTGTGTGACCCAGACTCCTGGTCATGGTTTTCATACCCTCATGCCAAACTAGATAAACTTAGGTTGTGCTTGAAGATGACATATGAAAGATGATCACTGAAATTCAATGTGGGCTTTTCTTGTAGTTATTAGTCACAAGTAACTGAGTTAAAAGAAATTGAATCAGTAATCTAAATCAGTCACAGCTCCGAGAAAAGCATACACCGTCCACTTATCCAATTTGTCTGAATTTCAGTTTATTCCAAAGTTGTTCTTAGGCTGTTTTACCCACCATCTTACTGACTGGCATTTTACTTTAACAGGCGAGAAAACTTAATCAGACAAGCCGAATATCAACGGGAACTTGAGGATATGCGAAAGCGCGTAGCTTCACGACCCTTATTAATAACTAGACAATCACAAGTAGTGGCTCGACAACGTGCGGAAAACAAGTTCGCCGATTCACTGCGACAGGCTGGTTTGGATCCGCAGTCAGTGATTAGAGACGCGAACGAATCTTCTGACAGACATGCCGGTTTGCATTCAAATAACGGTGCTGGTATCGAAGGTAGGTCGTCAAACGTGATCATATCGTCCATGATTGGCAAGCCTCAAAAAATTGTTTTGGATACAGATTTTCATGTCATTTGCAGTAGTTGTATTCGGATTATTTTAAAATCAGAAATCAATCCCACATACACATCCCGTGAATGAAAAGTAGTTGATTAAACACAAACACAATTTTTCCTATTTGAGGATAAACCCATCGCAGTCACTCAACTTTATCGAATCTAATGCGCCCATTATAAATTTTGTAAATGTTACATTTTAAGTTTTGCACCTAGAAACCTCTTGTAACAAACTAACCAGTGAAAAAAATTGAATGCTACTGATGGTGACAGTTTAATCTCTTAGACACTGCTGGTGCTCAATACCGAGGTTATGCAAAGCCTGATTTTGCAATACATTGATGTATCTTCCACATGAATTAACACACACGCGTACAAAACAGTGTATGCAAATCAAACGCTCTAATATTCCACGGCTGGTTTCGGCCGCATCTCACGCTTGAATAATTTGTTATCACGGTCCCTTGGTTGTGAACATATTATTTCCTTGACAAGATAACCGTGCTGGTGCCCGGTACGTTTTGATTAGCTTCCAGGAAAAAAACCACCAACGGTTATTTGGGATACCTCCGATGCTTCAGTAGCAGTGGTCATGATGGAGGAAAAGTAGGCAGTAGATAGGAGAAAAAACTGTGCGTTTCGTTTAATCCTATGCTCCAACAGTCGCTTTTTGTAGTTTATGTAATAATTGCAGTTTTTACCCGTGAAATGAAAGTATTTTTGTGCTAGTCATTCACGGCCTTCAAAATACATTGCGTTTCAGAATACGATCGTTCCAACCGTTTCGGAGACGTGGAACCCGCGTGAATGTGACCGAGATGTTACATAAAAATATCACAAACTATAACTGTCATCCAATTATTACGGCTGAAGCACGAGCACTTGAAACGAATCAAACCTATCACCGATGAAGTCATTCTCATTCAGAATTTACCTTCACTTTATATGAAAATGTGTTAAGAGCAATAAGTTGTTTTCAAAGTTTAGTAACAGAAGTGTTCGAGCAAAAAATAGCTTGTTTTGTGAAAACATCCATTCATCAAGTCAATGTCGGTTTTATTTTATAATTCATTTCACTTCATGCTTTAAGACCATGTTTCAGATATACTAATTACGTTTCCGAACAATGTAATGTCTATTAGAGTCTGATATCAAGCATTCTCTCATGGGTGCCGCATCTTTAAATGAAACATTGACGATTATGTGACAAGAGTTCAACAACGTTAACGTAATTCAATCAAACAGTCGAAGGGGGCTAATTTTTCAGTTTTGCGTGTGCTTCATTTACCGACTTACGTAGATTAGAGTTGACATTGAAATAAATAAGTTTGAAGCACCATGTAATTGTGAAACCTATGAGCAATAGGACAATTCAGCTATCTGACTAGCCATTTTTGGTGATAACACGAGCATATGTGATCAAATCTTTCAGGCTATACTCAAACCCCGATGCTGAAATCATTACGTAAAGGCTTTCTTGGCGGAGAAATTGGTTCGATGAGTTTATTATGTTGCTGGAGTACTTCTTGTGTTTACCCTCGATTAATTTCATTGTTTAGTTCGCTGAAGCTACTTTCGAGTGTAGTTGTTCTGTATTGCGACCAGAAAGATTTGTCCGATGATGAGCTTACGAAGGCCATGTATCATCCTGTTATGATTTGGGTGACCTCTCTTCCCCTGGTTAGCCTCATAAAAATGGTATCAATCACGTTGTTCAAACCAGACTATATATGAGCATCAACTTCACATATTTGATCTACAAAGTGCGATTAGAAAAGGCAAGAAGTAAGACAAATTTAAATACACATTTATTCGTACCCTACTTACAGTTAAATGAGAAGTAGTATCGCCAAAACCGCGTGATTGCTATATTTTCTCCTCTTATGGCAGAGAGCAGTTCGGTNTCAACATATCTTTACCATCCGAAGACGGCATGTATACTAATGATAATAACTATAATACTAATTAAAAAATATCGGGTGCTCCAGAGACAACAAACATAAATCTTTGCCTAGTTCAATCTTCAAAATCAGAGGGGTATAATACCCAAGTTTATTTATTTTTTTGCAAACCTGTCACTCTCACAAGAAACACGTAGAACGATGAATGCGTGCACAGAGTTTATGAGCTTACCAAGATAGATCATTTCTACGAACACCAATTTAATGTTTCTGTGATGGCCCAGATAAGACAACAGCGAATGGGTCTTGGAAGCCTGGAATATACGATTTGCTCATCAAGACCCACATAGCGAACTTAAAGATATGCTTTCAAAGGCGGTCAGGGTTTGTTTATTGCCATCCGTGAAAACGAGGAGGATCTTAATTAGTAAAACTGACTCCATGATGGTAAACAAAAAATGTTTTGGTAAATCCAGGATTTATCACTCCTATTTAAACGATCCAAAATTCAACATAAACTACTCTAATCCAATTTGGGTAACAGAACTGCAGTGGATATCAATTGTGATGTACCAAGAAATTTTCTTCGTGAAGAATTATTTTTTTCAAAGTAGCTTCAGCAAATGTGATAAACTTATTCACAATTTACTTCCAATGAAGGCTTTCCTGGGCTGTATAATTGGTCTTGAGCACGTGTAACCTCAGTTGTTTTAAAAGCATCCCAGCATGGAACGCGGTGACCTGATAGACCGAGCAACTACAATATATTTTGATTCTAGAAAAATACCGTAAGAACACACTCAGAGGCGGAAAATTGTCTTTATGGATTCATCTTCCATCCTGTACAGATAATATAAGGAAAAGAAGTGCTACAAGAGGCAAACAGTCAGTTGATAGTAAGTCACAATAATCGGTTGGGAAGGAGAGGGATGTGGAGTGAGTAGTGCGATATATTTCACACCACTAGGCCACCACAAGGATGCAATCAGCTTGTGGTGCGTGATGCGTGAGATTGATCTTCGGCCACGGTAGTTGGAGTGAATTTGTTTTGTGCACGTAAACTAAGTGTGAGCAAACGAATTTTGATCGCCTTCACAGTGATTAGGGTATGGCGATGCAACAACATGGATGGACGAGGTGGTACTCGATAAATCACTTTGAAGGCTGATTCAAGCGTCACTTGGCAACTGAAATCTGTTAGGTGAACAACAATAGCGCTCCCTGTGACATCTTTTCCGCGGAATAAAAGCCAACGTGGACAGTGTTCTCTTGTCCGCATTGACAGTCGCCTTGCCGTTCGGTCAATCTGGGGCACAAACAACAAATGGCGTAGATAACCATAGGTAAAACCAAAGTAGGTCAACTTCTTTTACTGGATGTTTTCGGTACTGGTGAAGCGGTGAATACGCATAACAAACTGACTGCATTAAAGATCCCTCTCATTACCGTTTTAAACGTTTTCAACTGAGATTACGTTTCTTCGCTTCAACATTGCAACTGAAATCTCTGTTATTTATGTGTTTTTGGTCTATCACAAAAAGGTGAGAAAAGATGACTTTATATATTAATCGGATCACAGGCTAC